TTATGTGTTTTTTCTGTATTCTTTTGTGGGTCTCTATTCATTTTATGTTGTGAAGAGACGCACTCTCCCCCCCCCCCCCCCCCCCCCCCCCTGTCAAATATATACTTGTGTTATGGTAATTTAAAAACGAACGCTACGTGTCGAAGTCGCAGTCGGGAGGGTCATTATAAGCACCGCAAATCACCATCAATTTAGTAACAATTTGCAGTTAGGAAAGACACGAAGCGAGACGAAACAGGGTGGGGAATCTCTTGTATAAAAATACGCGTGGAAACGACAGGCAGGCAGAAGATTCTCTCGGACTCAGTCCTTTCGTAGTTTGTCGAGTCGAGCCTGGAGGTCAGCATCCGCATCGGACATTGGGGAGGTGCCACCGCTGCCACTGGCTGCACCACTGCCAGAATTCCCAGTGCCGCCGCCGCCGGCACCACCACCACCGCCTCCCACACCACCGGCAGACACAGCAGCCAGCGTCTTCTGTGCGCCAGCCCCGCCGGCGATGGACAGCGAACCGGAGGCATTGGGCAGGTCGCCCAATTGTTCGCCCAACTGCAGGCCCAATTCGTCAAGCACTTGTGAAACGACAGCATCGGTCTCCTCCTCATCGCCCTCGTCCTCCATGGCATCGTCGATGGCGTCGTTTATCATCTCCTCCTTCATGTCCATCATTTCCGATTGCTTCTCAAAGTCCTGCAGGATCTTTTGTATTTGCGGTAGATTCAGCTGGCGGTTCATGTTTTGCATGGCCTTTGTGACACCTGTAAAAGGGAAACTTCCAAGATTAGAGAAGGTGCATCAGCCCACACACACCCAACCCCACACCTTTCATTGCCTGAGCCATTGTGTTCTGTGACTTAAGCGTCTGTATCTTGAGGGAAACGGCTTGAATGTTTGCCTTCATGAGCATGAATTTCTTTGCGTAGCGACGGGTGCGCACCAAATCCTTAGCCATGATCTTCACCGCATCCATTTGGCCCTCCTTGGCCATTTTCTTGATGTCCGCAATGATTTTCTTCTCCTGTTGTTCCATTTTCATGCGCTCGCGATCCAGGTCCCTCATCGCCTTGTTCAGGGCGCGCTGGTTCTTGCGAAGCATCTCATCAGGGCTGATCTTTTTGCCAAAGAGCCAATCCATTTCGTCTGTATGTCTCAACTGCAAACTCTAATTACGACTGATACAAAGAGGCAAATGACGGAATTGAAAGATAACTCATCAAGAAACACAATAAACAAAGACGCAGCCCTGCGAATGCAGTTATGTAGAAGAAGCACATGACGTGTGATTGCGTTTCGTTGTGAATGGCTACTGCTTCAGTTTAACCAAACATGAAAGAATTCGACGATTTCAACTTTAGTGTATACAAATGTAAGTTCATTTAAATAATTTGTTACTTATACATAATCTAAAAGTGTATTCCTAACGCAGACACCAAAGAGTTGACCCGTGAATGTGTGGGCGGCAGCGATTTGCAGCAGCGAAAAAACGAAATCGAGGCCTACAATGAAACGACGGCAGCGACTCTCAAGCAAACATGCAAAAATAACTACATGGAGTTTATCCAGACGGCCAAAGAGATATCGCGTGAGTTTTATAAAAGTAAACGCCCCATAAATGTTTTCATTATTATTCTTTATTAGATCTCGAGTCAGAAATGTATCAGCTGTCACATATTCTCATTGAGCAACGCAACATTTTGGCCATCATGACCGATGGCAAGACCGCCTCCCGCCTGAAGGCAGACAGCGTGGAGGCTGAGAGTAGCACCGCTGTCGATGATGTGCAAAACAGCCATGCCACACGTGCGGTTAAGGAAATGGTTCAAGGATTCAATGGCAATCTGGAGGGCAAGACGTTTCTAAACGAGGGCGCCCTCATCGAATTGGATGCAAATGATTACAGGCCCATACAGCGGGTGTTCTTTTTTCTGTTCAACGATGTGCTCATTGTGTGCAAAGTGAAGCATGACAAGTAGGAGATTTATTTAGTTAAAAAGCAAGCACAGAAATTAATCCAGACTCTCCCTTGCAGACGTTTGGACTTCCTCAAGGAATACGATCCCAAGAAAATAGCCGTGATCAATATCAAGGATTTGGATGGCGTTAAAAATGCCATTAATATCATCACACCAGATGGCTCAAAGATATATCAAAGCATCACAGCAGCCGGCAAGTCCGAATGGATTGAAAAACTCGAGGAGGCCTTTCGTTTCGATCAGCAAAAAAAAACGAAAAAAGGACAGGCACCGCAGCCACCCACGCGAGCCAAGCAGCAGTCGTCCAAGTCATCCTCACCGGAGAAGATTATCAGCACTCCCTCAGTCCAGTCGCCCCCAGAGCCCAAGTCGCTGGAGAATGAGACACCCGAGTGGCTGAGCACGGCCAGCGAGGAGATTCAAACATTGGTGGCTCAGCGACACTTTGAGGATGCCCAAGACCTGATCAAGCGCACACAGGAGTACGTAAAGGGCGAGAACCGCAAGAAAGTGCCCCAGGCGGAGAGCATTGAGAGCAAGGTGAAGCAGCAGGAGCTCAAGCTGATCAATGTGCTGCTTAAGGAGCTCTCGAAGAGCAATCGCAATTTGCAAATCGCCTTAAGGGCCGCCCAACGTCCACTAAAGATACTCGTGGAGATGGGCCGCTATCGGCAGGCGAGTGCCTCCCTGCTGAAGGTGTGCGCCGTCAGTCTGCGGGTGTCGCAGCGCGAGGCGCGTAGGAATAATGCAGATATATCGGAGCTATTCTTTTGTGATCTGACGCAGGTGGCGTGTGATTATCTTACGGCATTTGAGCAGCAGCCAGCGTGCGTGAGTGGTAAGTGGGAAAAGCTCTCCCTAAAACTATGTACCTTAATTTTCTCTTCCACTTGCTCGCGCAGCTCTTGTCGTTTGGTGCAATGCCGAGCTGCAGTACTTTGCCAGCCAGCTCATCAAACATTATCTGACCAAAGGCACCACACTGGAGACAGTCGCCAAATGTGTGGAGCGTGTGCGTAAGCCCTCTACGAAGCTAACCGAGATTGGCCTAGACATAAGCTACCATATGGAGGGTCTGCTGCGCACCACTCTGGAATCACTGATCGAAGATTCCAAGGAGCGTCTGTTGGACTCTGTGGGGCGCTCTGAGGAAAGCTGGCAGCCCTACAATCTGCAAACGAAATCACATCTGAAGCGTTTGCTGCTCGAGCTGGATGTGCTGGGCATCGATGTGCGCGCCCAGGCCACTGGCGACACTTGGATTAACCTGACACAGTCCACGGTGGTGTTTATACGACACTTTTTGCAGCTAATCGAACACTGCGGCGGCTTGGCCAAGTGTGAGACGCTGCTGCAGAAGCTGGATCTGTTGCTAAAAGAGCTATTCATTGCCCATCACTCACAGAAGCCGCCCAGCGATATGGCTGTGGATGTAAGTTGGGATTTTAAATTAATTTGTAGCTGCTACATTTATTAATTTCCCTTTTTGTTTCAGCCCAACTTTGTGATGAAGAATAAAATCTTTCTAGTGGACAATCTGCTGCCCATAGCCATAGACAAGTTTCGGCAGATTTCGGGTCGCCAGTGCGAAATCCTAAGGGAGCTGCACACAAACATGTCGCGACAGCACGGTGCACCATTACCCCGCCAGCGCAGCGTGTACACCACAGATGTCTTTTAAAAGATTTGGGGAACTCTTTGTTTTGCTTTACTTTTTTGATTACATATAAAGTTTTTTAATTTTTTGTCGTTTTGCTTCAATTATTTATAATATAATTATATACATATATAACCACAATAATATTTTGTAAAATTAAAAATCGAAGCATGTGCTGCACTCTAAACTGGGAGCGCGAGGTGCGTGCCCACTCTCTATATATACTCGTATGTATTATATATATATATAGATTTTGTTTTGTATATATATATAAATCGATTCTTCACACTTTCTAAACAATTTAGATGTTTGTTTGCTTTTTCTTCTAACTTATATTTCGGTAGTGGCTCAATTACTATTGATTTTACAGTATGGTTCTGAGGGGGGAATAATAAAAAACAGGCGCTTCACACACACACAAATTAATGTTCCCCCTTAACCCTTATAAGAGTAATCGCCCCACAATGAGTAAATGTGTGTTTCAAAATCTAGTATTTTGTTTTTAAAAATGTATAATGTCAAAACTCTTAACTAAAATCCTTATTGGTTATATTCATTTATATTTATATATACTTTGTTTTTGCGCAAATGTGTGTTTGTGTGTGTGTTGAGTGGGTGGGGGTGGGGGTTTGGGGCAAATTAAAAATTGCTGTAATTTTGTTTTACATTTTATAGTTTTATATTTATACTGTCCTGTGGCTCTAACATTCAGCTAAATTACAAAAAACATTGACATTTAAAAAACAAACAAAAACACTAAAAGCACTTCACCAAATTTGTGCCAGCATATCCTTTCTGCTTTTGTCAGCCCCTGTGCTTTATTCAATATAATCTCAACGCTTCCTGCTCCTGCACTGGCAAATGTCTAATCCATGCAAACAATCAACCGCTCATTAGGGTTTCGGTTATCTTGTCTTGGGGGTTAGGTAACGCCGACTTCTGTTCAGTTTTCTAATTTAATTATTACTTGCATTTTCTTTTTTATATTATTAATTTCTGTTGCTCATCAATTAATTTTCTCTTGTTTTCTTTGTTGTTGTTTTTACTTGCAATTTGTGTGTGTTGTTGTTTTTTATTGGACTTAGGCTTAGTAGCTACAAGTACGCTTAAATTTGTAGTTTTTTTCGTTTTTCTTTATTTATATATATATATATTATAATATTTCACGCTTTCTCTTGTTAGTTTTCTGTTCCTGCGTTTGCTGCCTTTATTCGTCTTCTCCTGTTGTTGCTTCTGATGTTGCGGGATTGCTGATGCGATCTTTTCTTTTCCTATTTGCATGATTTCGAACATTTTGTGTTTGTCTGTGGTGTGTTGTTTTTTAATGTAATAAAAACTATACGCGCTTATTACAAACTGAAAAAAACCGCTAGATGTGTGGTGTGGGTGCTGTGGGGGTGGTGGAGGAGTAGGATCTTCTAATAAATAACCTCGTAGACAGTAGCTTTCTTATCGCCCGAGCCCGTCACAATGTATTTGTCGTCAGTTGATATGTCGCAGCTAAGTACGGATGATGTTTCTTTCGACTGTAAAATACATAATAAATTAATTACAACATGGTTAGGGCTTCTATCCAATCTCAAAACTCACCTGGAATATGCTGGCACCGTATGGTGTTCGCCATGCGTTAAGCAGGTTGTCTTTGCCGGTTGAAACGAACCATTTGCCGCAGGCGGCAAATCGTAGTGACAGTACACAACTCTCGTGGAGATGCAGTTGATACTTGTCCGGTTTCGATGCATGCAATACTTCCACATGTGAGTTCTCCATGCCCACAGCCAACCAATCACCTGTACAATCAAAAACATAACATTGTTAAGCAGAGCCAAGACAAGGGATATCTCAAAAAATCACCTGTGGGACAGTAGCCAAGCGAGAATATTTGAGAGCTGAAATCGTGCTGCTGCAGTTGGCGTCCCTCGCGCAGGTCCCACGAGCGCACTGTATTGTCGAGACCGCCTGTCCATAATCGCGAACCATCCGGACTGATGTCAATGCACGAGGCACCATCGGTGTGTCCCTGGAACTGGCGCACCAATATCTCGTTGTGCAGATCCCATACGGCAATGTTGCCATCGCTGCAGCACGAGAAGCACACCTTCGAATCGGGGCTGATGGCCAGCGCATAGCAGGCGGGCGCCGCTGAGGTTAGTTCGGCCTTAATGCGGGGCGTGGGGCTGGCCAGATCCCATATCGACAGATTCGATGCCTCTCCGCCGACAATCAGCGTCCGACCATCGGGCAGAAGCTTCACCGAGCGTATATAATTGTCTCGTTGCAGGCAATCCAACTGACTTACGGGGTTCTTGTTGCCCGGCTGTGAGATGTCCCAGACCTTGACGCACCCCTTGCCGCCCGTATAAACGTATTTTGTAGGATTTGAAATTGTCACGGCGCAGACGACTTCGCCATGCGATAACGTGTTGATCTGACGGGCGTGCCGAGGTATACCAACACCTACCAGCGCATCCGGCGGGAATGGCACCGGCTGTAGGCTACCCTCACCGTTCATATGGAAAGAGTATGCACTGTGGGAAAATGTAAAATAGTCGGTAAAAATATTGGCCAGAATTTTACAGAAATTACAGTCTCTAAAAGTTGAAAGCTTAAATTTGAATCGTTAATAGAAAGCCTCACCAGAAACAAGTGAATTTCAATATGAATCTTGAGCCCTTATTCCCATAATTCCCTTGTTATTTTTTTACGTTCTTAAGGTTGTGCTGCGTAGGCTTCGTCTTTGTGTCGTTTGAGCAGAGACAATACAATAATAAGACGGTCTATGACGGTCCCTTACTTATGAGAGCCCAGAAATAAAAAATAGAACGCTCTTGCATGTGTGACTACGCACAAACCAAGCAAACGATTTTCGAGACGAAAGATTTTCACGACATTTCTGCTTCCAAATTATTTTCTGATTGATTAGTTGGCATGACGCACGCTAAATACCCTACTGACATTTACTCGCAGGTGAAGTCATGTATGAAGAATTTGATCTATATTTACATACGTATGTATATCGATAATAATAATGATATAATATTCTATAATACAAACAAATAGCTTTCATATAAAGTGTGTACTAAACAAGGGGGTTTTCTAGTATTGGGGCAAACGTCTTCCGAAAGTGCATAGCACTTATAAAGACTCATAAAGTGAAGGGTATGTTTCGAGATTTTCGAGACGAGAAGATTTTCACGACATTTCTGCTTCCAAATTATTTTCTGATTGATTAGTTGGCATGACGCACGCTAAATACCCTACTGACATTTACTCGCAGGTGAAGTCAATTATGAAGAATTTGATCTATATTTACATACGTATGTATATCGATAATTATAATGATATAATACAAACAAATAGCTTTCATATAAAGGGTGTACTAAATAAGGGGGTTTTCTAGTATTGGGGGCAAACGTCTTCCGAAAGTGCATAGCACTTATAAAGACTCATAAAGTGAAGGGTATGTTTCGACAGCACTGTAAAAAAAACATATACATGCAAGCAGATCCAAAATACGCAAGACCCAGGCAGAAAAAATCGTGTGCAAATAAATCGTATGGCGCTACTCATCTTGGTATTTTTATACCCGATACTCGAAGAGTAAATAGGGTATATTGTATTTGTGGGGAATAACAGTTGTATGTAACGCACAGAAGGAAACGTTTCCGACCCCATAAAGTATATATATTCTTGATCAGCATCAATAGACGAATCGATAGAGCCATGTCTGTATGTCCGTCCTGTTTGTCGGCTAGTTCTCAGAGACTATAAGAGCTAGAGCCACCAAATTTTGCATCCAGACTGCTATATGCTCACACTGAAACCAGTGTATTTCAAAAATGAGCCACGCCCCTTCCGCCCCGCAAAAGGGCGAAAACCTCCCAAATCTACAATTTGGAAGATAATTTGAAGATTTGGGATCCGATTGGATCATTATTATAGCCAGAATGAAGAAATTAATTTGCAGTGGCTAAACCCACTGTCCCGCAGCTTTTGTTGTTCTTTTCACATTCTCTCATTCACAGTCTGCTTCTGTTTCACTCGGCCCCTGCCTCTGCCGTCCCTCTGCCTCTGCCGACTTTTAACCCTCCCCGTCCCGCAGCTTATATATTTTTTTGTGTGCGGGCACTGCCTCTGCCGCGAGTCTGCAGTGTGTGGGTCTAGGGAAGGGCGGCGAGCTAAAGGAGCGTGTTGGTGTGAGAAGTGTTGTAGATGTAGATGACAGTTGAAGAAAAAATTTAAAATTTGACAAAACACCGCTAAGGTGCAGATGTAGTACTGAGTGCCGGGTATAAAAGTTGTAACGCGTAAAAAGCGTCTCACACGTCCCTTCTCGTTTTGTCTTTGGTTTGAGCCATTTGATAGTACTTCGACTATTTCTTTGATTCGTTGATTCTATGTTTTATAACTAAACGGACACAATCCCAATCTATCAAATAGATACCAATCTTATAGAAGGAATACAATTAGTTGAAATAATAAAATCTTTGAAAGTAATATTATAGTTCTTTAACTTAGATTTTCTGGTGGAAGCAACATCATCCTTTCAATAGAATTATAATATAAGTAAAGATCCGCTTGATATCAATATAAGAAACTGTTTACGGTACAGGTACTAGTTACAACGTTCAATGACTATCTCAAGAAAATGTTTCTAAAATTTAGAGATTTATTTGGTTATTTTACCACAATAATCCTCTAAAAGTCTAGTGCTCTGCACATCCCAATAAAGAAAAGTCATTTCAATGATTAACGAAATTCCCAGCTAGGTTACGCAACTTACGGCTTTCCACCCGTCAGGGCTGAGGGATGTGGAATGCCATTTGTTCGCACATGCGAATGCGGATCGTACGGCATTGGTGGCGGTCGTCCATAGGCTGGATCCGATGGTGGACGCTGGTAGGGATCTGCTGGTCTCTGATAAGGTGCTCCCGGATATCCGGCTGGCGGTGGTCCCTGCGGCATCATTTGTTTAGGATTAACACCACCCGGTACTGGAGCGGCAGCGTTTGGTGTCGGTGTTCGTGCCTTGGCGCCCGGTGTGCCCGGCTTTTCCATCTACAATTAAATTAGAAAACAAATTTTTTATTTTAATATTTCTTATAAATTGTTAGGTAGCTAAGATCTCACATCTTTTGTTTTGAGGCTGGGTGTGGAACGTGATGAGCTAGAGCCAGAGCGTGAGGGCGGACGTTCCTGTTTTATGCCACTACTACTA